TCACCCTACTGGGCCCTCCCTGGTGGTGCAGCGGGTTAAAGCACAGCACTAAGATGCTAAAGTCACTTCAACATGAGTTTGATCCCCTCCCATAGGTGACCACATGGTGCGGCAGACCTCTCCTGACAGCCCCGCTGTTCCCCTCAGCAGTGTACTTGGATGATCTGCCTGTTCTGCTCCCCGCTCTGTTTCTGGTGAAGCCTCCTACCACCCCTGTACCTCTGGCCTATATCTTAGTTTTGTATGCCTAATAAATCTTAAAAAAAAAAAAATCACCCCACTAAATAAGAGAAAATATTTTAATATCTTTGACAAAAGACTAATATAAACAATATACAAGGAACTTACAAAACTCTGTAAAAACTAAGAGACCCAGTTGAAAAATGGGCAAAAGGACTAAATAAACACTTCCCAAAGGAAACATTGAAATGGTCAATATGCACATGGACAATGTTCAACGTAACTTATTATGTGAAAAATAAACATCAAAACCATAGTGAAATACCACCTCATACCCATAAGAATGATCAATATCAAAAGACTAGAAACAAGCACTAGTGAGGTTGTGAAGTAATGAGCAAATTTCTACACTGCTGGTGGGAATGCATTGGCCCACCCTTTATAGAAAGCAGTATGGAGGTATTTCAAAATGTTAAAATGGCTTTGCCATTCATCCTAGTAATTCTCCTATTAAGCACCCACCTAAAAATTTCAAAAACACTGATTTGAAAAGGAACTTGCATTCCTATATTTATTTCATTATTATTTACTATAGCTAAATTCTGGAACCACCCAAAGTGCCCAAAACAGATGATTGAATCAAGAAGATAAGGTATATATGCACAGTGGGAAATTATTCAGTGATCAAAACAGAAAAACTCATTCCACTTATACCAACACTGTTGGAGCTTCAACAGATAATGCTAAGTCAAATAAGTCAGAAGGAAAAAGATAAAATACCAGACAGTGTCATTAATATGTCACATATAAAGCAGCTAAGTTATGGGTCAGATAAAGACAAGTTTAAAACTAGTACTTGATAGCTGACTACAGAACTGAAGTGAGAAGGTTGGGGGAGGGGTAGTAAGAACAAAAAGGAAAGGAAGTACAATTGTCTATGGTAATGGATATGGATGAGTTGGTCATGAGTGTACTATGGCATTAATACCTGATGGAGTATCTCAGTATTATCTCAATTTAAAAAAAAGGAAAGACCAAAGATCAATTTCTTTTTCAAAAAATTAGTCAGTGGTGTTCTCCATATCCTATGTGGTCTCTTTTCTCCAACAATCCCAATTATGACAATTCTTTTGCAGTTATCTCTTCTAATTTTTACTCATTATTCAATCACCCGTACCTTATGTAGTTTCAGCAGTTAAAATATGCCATCCGTACTTAATGAATGAAGGAAGGAATTAAGAGAGAGAGATAGTCCATGTCTTAAAATCCTTCATATTTAATCACTTCTTAGTAATTGTTAAATCATTTTTATGATTAAGCTAATCCCTCTTCTATAAAAGTTTACTTCAAAATTCAGTCTGTTGAGATTATCGTTCATTCTGAATCAATTATGAAATAGTTCAAAAGGCTGATGCAAGTGTTAATGTTTCCTCTTTCAAATTTGCATCTTAAACAGAGATTTTAAATGTTTTGATACTCCCATATGAATAAATAATACTAGAGATTTCAGACATCAGAAATTGAAGAGACAGAGCTTTTTAAATCTTATCACATAGGCTCATGTCTGTTAATACATAAGACAGACCCTAAATGTTCAAATGAGTTTCAAAACAATTATTTTCTTACATATGTTTTGTTTTATATATATATATATATATATATATATGTATATGTATGTATGTATGTATGTCTATATATCTATCTATCTATTTAGAGATTCACAAAAAGCACATAGAGTGGTATTTGGTAAATCCTCAATTAATGAAGGAACAAAAAGTTTATGATGCATTTTAAAGATTTTTTTCTAATTACATGCAAAATGAACCTAGTAGCATTATATGAATAACATTAATCAAAAGAACCATGGAAAAAACTTAAGTTTCCCACACATTTCTTTACTTTTGGAAATATTTTTTTGGTCCATTGTTCTATGCTATTTTTACATATAAAATTTTGAAATAGATAATGTATTGAGATGGTATCTTTCTTCCTTATGATTTTTCACTGTTTGGAATTTCTTATGTATGGCAAGAGACAAAATAACTTACATATAGTTTCTGAAAAATAATACCTTAACTTCTATAGGATAAGGAATTTGGAGACTATATAAATATACAGCTTTAAAACAATTAATAGTATCTCTATATCTGGACCTGCAATAAATAAATGATGGACTTTTGGTATTAAAATGCATGTCTTTCTTTCAAAGGGTGCTAGTTAGTACTAGGAAATCTAATCACTCTAAACATAAGGGAAAACTTTTACCACATGTGATGTAAATCTAATGACAACAAAATAGGAGTATAAAAAGTACAATAATCCATTTTCATTTTAGGTTGTAGTTTTAATTGACATTTTAAAGTAATGAGTTGATGTTCTAAAAATGTTTTACAACCAACTCAGTAAAAAGTGGAAATTCTATCATGATCCATATTCTTTATTCTTAGGGGAAAAAAAGAAAGTAATTGAGAATTGTTATCCAACTACTAAAAGTTCAAGAAAAAGGTGAAATGTTTACATTTTGAAAATATAATATTCTCTAAGTAATTCACAAGTCAGATACTCTATGAACTAACTTGTCAATGATCCTACCTGGAAAACACAGGAACCAAAAGTATGTGAATAAAAAACGGTATATTCCAAAAGATCACTTTAAAATAGTCGCAGAGAAGTTGTTTGTTGTTGATCATATCCATGCCTTTTTTTAAGGCAATATGTCACATATAGTACTACAACTCATAACAGGGTCCCATCACATCCATTTGAACATGATTAGGCATCTTTACAAAAATGTAACCCAACCACTTATTGACCTGTCATCTTGGCCTACATTCATCCTCCTTTATAACATTAGGAAATTTTTAAGAAAAGCAGCATAATCTCTGAAAACAGATGTTTAAAAGTTATGATAAGAACGTAGATGTAACAAGAAGCATCCCATAGAGCCCGCAGCAACTTAATACAAGGTAAATTTTGAAGGCGATGTAATCTGAGAAACCAGAGGATACTTCTTAGAGTTTGGGTGGATATATAATATATTCTGGTCCCTCATTAAATTTCCCTTCTTTTCTGCTGACAGGAAAGAAAACCCATTTCCGAAAGTAAAGAGATGTATGGGAACTTAGTTTTCTTCATGGTTCTTTTGATTAATGTCATTCATATAATGCTACTAGGTATAATTAGTCTTAGCACTGGTCTCCTGAACTATATATAATTGTTGTTCACAAGACAACAAGTCACCTTGCCTTCCTGGTTTAGGTGGAACTGTCTAATGCTTGGAGGTTTATCACTTTGAGGTCCAACCTAGAGGAAGGTCAACATAACCCAGAGGTGCTTAATTTAGTCATGAATAACCTCAAATCACTACTAACAAAAGCATCCAAAGGTCAGGATACCATGTATAAGAAATAGTGAGTTCACAGTCTCTAGAGAATTTTAAAACATTAATAAAATACACTAAATACTTATCTACTTCTATTAGAAATTAAATATTACTATTATTTAAGCAATTGGCAAATTCATTTTCTGTTACTTGCAAGCAAAACTCTCTGAATTGTAAAACTGTTCATAGAAAATAACAGACTTAAAGGTTGTTCAATCAGGTTAATCCAGTACTAAAAAGAAAAATCATTAACCTCTTCTTTGAGAATACACAAGTTGCCTAGATTCCAGGCCTCCCGTAACTCTACTAAGATAAGGTCTGGCCAATAACTATATCTGTTTTTGGGTATTCAGAAGAGCCTCCTTATTGTGTCACTATTATACTGCTAAAAAAAACTTACATCAAATAGTATACACAGGTTTCTTTGTTTTCTAACTAAAAGTACCAACAAAAACACAGAACTGAGAATTTAAGAATTAAATAAATAATAAGACTATCCCATATATCATCAAAAATCTAGATTTCTTAAACCATTGTTCAGGATAAGAATGCATGAATATTTTAACATAATGAATCTAACAGGTTAGGTAAGACACATAAGAAAACATTGAAAAGATAAAATGATGTTAGAAATTCATTAAAATTTACATTTTATATAAAATACATCCCAGGAAACACACTCTCTTTCTTGCCTCTCTTTCTTGACAGAAAGGAAACGTGATTTATTTTGAAATGTTTAAATTATAAGAGAGTAAGTAAGATTAAAAAGTATTTAGTTTCTTGATGTTACAATAACATAATTAAATCCTGAGTTATGCTTCTAAGAGTTATGCATTATAGGAATCATTTCACCGTCCTAATCTTTAAGAGAGAATCATATGAGCTTGACATGTAATTTCAGGCTCTCCTCTTACTGATTTAGATCGTTGAACTTGTTTATTTGAGTCTTTATATCAAAATAAATTAAATACTTAATGAACACATATTGGTGGTGAAATATGTACTATATCTGAAATCAATGAAGAGTTTCCCATTAGTACATACATTACTTATATTTAATATATATACATTCTGAGTTGAGAGAAATTTAGTTGGAAAACAAGTGCAAGAAAGCCAAAATATGTGAGTACATTAAAAAGAGGGAGATAATGAGTCATGTGAAAATCAAAAATGCTTATTGTTTTCTATGATATTTTGGCCATGAATAAGAATTTATTTTAGAAATATAGTATAAATTGATATGAAGTAAGGATTATAAGGCATGAAGCTTATTATCCAAATTATCTCTACATCATATGTAGCAGTACTTTGATTTCAGAATGAGAATGACTACCAGTAAAAAGTGTCTCACTATATCACATAACATTGTTCTTGGTATTACCCTACATTAGGAAATTGACAAAAGCAAGTGTGTACATTAAAAAGATCAAAAACATACCAGATACAGCAAGGAAGTCATCAATGCTTGTAATGTCATCCACAGCTTCAGTGAGGACATGGATATGATTCTCCCATGTGCGCTTGTACATTTCCATGGTTTTTTTGACCACTTGACTTTTGGGTCTTGAAGCCAAAGCAAGCGCAGCATTGATAATCTGTGAAGATATAGAATGTTCAGTGATTTCTTTGTGAACAGTTACCATTGTGCAGATGGAAAAAGTACTTTAAAAAATTAAATAATTGGGGGACTTCCGGAAGATGGCGGCAGAGTAAAGACGCCGAGATCACC